ACTTCTATTTTTTTTTTTTTAAGTTAAATAAACTGTCCAGTGGTAAGTGAGCATCGGTTTACAAAACACTTTGTCTTACTTTCCACTGAGTGACTTAATCCTCCCTCCCATAATCCATTTGCATTGATTTCCTTCTTCATCCACTGTCTCTGCTTTCCAACACAGGGCAGAGCTGCAAAAATTCCACGGCTGAATCACCAGGGAGGCAACTGTGCTCGGTTTAAAAAAAAAAAAAAAAATACAAATAAGTACCCACTTAAGACAGTACTGTACTTATTTTTAATAGAGCTTTCCTCTTAATTATAATGTAACATTAGTTTTTCTTTCATTCTTCTGAACTTTCATAATGACACTATCAACCAGGAACAAATATAAATTTGTGCAGCCTGAAATATGCAATTTAATCATAAGCCATAATTTCCATATCTGAGGAGAAGGGRAAAAAAATATCAAATGATTAAACTCCAGTGCACCAAGACCAGTCTTGAATTAAATTTTACTCTCTGCTAAAGTTAGATTTTGTACAGCAATATCAAGAGCGGTTTAAAGGTAATAGTAAAATATTTGCTGTTATATTAAAACTCCATACCCAAAAGTGTTTACCAAAGATCAAACTGCTATTCTTTTTTTTTTTTTTTTTCACAAATGAGAAATGTCTTGCAGATATCTTCAAAACCTCTTGAAAGGGTTGGCAATGATATCACAGCCGTCTCACTAATATTTCTCTTCTTTATTCATTCTGTTCCTTTTGGAATCAGAAATGATGCTCTTCCTGCCAGGGAGGGGGAAAATCCAGAAAATCCTCCCAGATCACTGCTTGGTGAGAGCTAAYCTTGTTTATCCTGCTGCCCAGCCCCCACCCTGGCTTCTGCTCAATCTCGAGTTACAAGATTTCCCAACTTTCTAGCAAAGTCCAAGGTGAAAAGAGGCTGAAGGTAATGGGATCCACCCACTAGAAAGATGCTAATCCTGACAAACTGCTGGAGCAGGAGTCTGAGCCACAATTAGATTGAATTCGGTCTCTCCGGAGAAGTTCCGACAAGGCTGGTGGTAACAAAACCGCTTTTCATGGTGCCCTCAAAAGCAGATGGGCTCCATGCAGAAAGTTGGAGAAGGACGCCATTGCCCTCTAGTGGCCAGAAGTGCAATCTTCCGCGAAGGAGTCCATTTCCAGAGATGCACAAGGCTCTCGATGTCAGGGTAAAATTATAGCAGAAAGATGTTTAATTATCCTCCTCGAGTGTTTTCTTTAGTCCTTCCTGTTCGTAGAGGAGGCTGTGGATGGCTATCACAGTAATCCTGATGGAACGGCTCACTCCTACTCCTATTGCTGCATTAGRATGGGTCCAACATTCTCCAGCTTTAGTTTCTGTTTTTAAAAGACCTGTTGATTTTTTTTCCCCCAATTAAACCACAAATTTATATAGGTCATATATCTTCATATATATTTCAGAGTCGTTAACTTTGAATTGGAAGACAGACAATTCACATTCTGGGTAACTAAAGAATGGGAGTTCTTCACAAATTAGTTGACATTTTATGAAATAACACCTCATTTCATAAGGGAAAAATTATCCAAAACATATTTCGACCCCTTAAATCATTACTTAGTGAATATGCACAATGCTTTAATCTTCTAGGGAGAAAAGTACTTGGGAATTCATTGTCATTCTGAAAATCTGGCCAATCAAGAAAAAGGTTTACTACTCACTTTCAAATCTATGAAGCACTGTTTCAATATTACTATTATTATTACTATTATTATTATTAAATGATTGGGTATGCCTCTAATCAAGCTGAAAAAATCCATATTGAAAATAAATTCAAAATTAGTATGTTTCTCAAATGTCTACCTACACAAGCTTATTGAGAATGAAAAATAAATCAGATTTACAGATCTTGTTGAGATGGTTCTCAAAAATAGATTTAAATATAAAAGATCCAAGTTTATGTGATCTGTGAGCTTCAGAAGTCACTAGCATTCATTCACAGGCAAGGTCCACACACTATGTTCATGGGAGTGTAGCTTTGGCATTRTAAATCAGGCCATGAGGTCAAAGTCATGGCATTTTCCATATGAGGGTCCCCAAACCAGAATCTTTACAAAGMAGCCATGTAATTCTATTCAAAGTGAGAGAAAAACCATGAATTATGAAGACATGTGCATTAAAAGAGCATGAAATTGATCCGTATTCCCCCATATCATGACATGGTTCTCCAAGTCGGCCCCCCCTTCTCCCAAACATAAATAATGGAGAATACACATTTGGAGGTACCACAGTAAAAGGGAAATATAAGTTCTAGGCCATAAAAAGATACAGCTGTAACTTTATTTTTTTTTTTTTCAAATTAACCAAAAGATTGTATCTTAATTGAAAATAGAATTTARGTTTCTAGTAATTTTACTGTCTCCAGTTCTGATAAGAATGCTGAGCAAAATGAAAGTTCTGAAGTGCTATCAAGATGGTCCACTGCTTCAATTAGAAATATTTTAAAAGCCTATTTTTCTAGTATGCCATAAGCCCAGTTTGAATAAATCTACATGTGTAGGCCTCTCCAGATTATCCCATCTCAATCCTTCCTAAGCATTTCTTCAACACCCCCCCACCACCACACATACACACAGGGGTGAGCAAGAAGGGTTTTTTTTTTTTTTTCAAACAATATAATAAACAGAGCAGTATATGCAGACTCTGAAATTGCAACTAAGATGAAAACAATAATAATTATTATTAACAATAAAGTATGGCTACAAGACATTTTTCATGCATTAAATTGTAATGTCTCAACAAAAGCAAGCTATCAAGCTAATTCTTACTCAAAGTTTCTCGGCCTCTCCATGCCTTTGCTTGGTCTCTACTGGAAACTACTCACATTCCTTTGTACTAGGCAGGATTTCAGTTTTGCACAGAGGATGGAATTCCAGGGCCTACTGGCCAACTTTAAAACTTGGAATCAGAGCTTATGTTTAAGGAACTTAACACGACTGTAGCTTCAGAGTCCCTCTGGTCCTGGCCACAACTATGTCCCTTTGTTTTGTAACTTTTATTCCTTTGTTCCTCTGAAAGAAGACCAGGCTCCCTGCAGCTGGGGTTGGGCAGGGACTTTTATGTTTCCCAGTCTGCACCTCCGTATTTRTAAAAATAATTCCCAGATTAATGAAATGAAGATCAGCCCCTTCTCTTTTCCTCTCCCATCTCRGAAGGCTCCAGAGCAGAGTCCAGCCAGGCAAACATGCTGATGCGATACTAATGGATCCTCGCTCCTGAGAACACATCTGCATCCCCATCCCCAGGAAATCCAGACACCCCGCAAAACCATCGATGTTTGCTGCAAGCCCAAGTGATAAGGAAATTGATCTAGCCTCTCGCCAGATTAATTGTCATTGCTTCCCTGTGATTAAACCGAAAACTTACTCACTGCCTCATTTTAACCGATAGGAACGATCAGAAGAAAACAAGAAAAGATTTCAGAATCATCTGAACAAGATTTCTATAGGAGGAAACCGAAGGGAAGTCTTTAAGCAAATGTATCCCTCTTGCAGCAGTGTTCCAGGAACGACCCCCCCCCCCCATCCCCAACACACACACACACACACACACAC